ATAAGGGATTAGGGGATCAAACCCAGGGGTACAGACTTTTTACTTTTTGAAACAGGATCTCACAACTCACTAAGTTGCTTAGCTGAGGCTGGCCTCTAACTTAGGATCCTCCTACTTCAGCTTCCCCATCTCTAGGAATACAGGCATGCGCTACTACCACATCCAGCTTGGAAATTATATGTTCTTTACAAGTGAAATCAACTCTAGTTCTGCATCCCCACATCAAGCAAGGTATTGCAGTAAAGGATTAAGAATGTACACTAATTTTACAAGTTAAAGTTGTAGGCAGATAATAGTACCTTCTTCATATGACTATCAGTAGACTAATGTCTATTCCACAGCTAGTGTTCAATAAATGGTACTAGTGATTAGTATTGTTTTATTTTTTTTGACAATATTTAACTGTTATATCCCTAAAACATGGGCTAGTGTCTCACTCAATAAAAAAAGTCCTATAATTTTAAAAAAGCATCAAATAATTCTGCCACTTACTATAAACTGAAATTTTACTACATTGTTAAGACATCTTACTGAATGAATACAATCATATCAGATAATCAAAACAAGAGAGAAAAGAAATTAGGACTATAAATCTCTACCCACTAGGACTTCATGAGGTCCTAAATATTATATACAGAGGTTTAAGAGTATTTGATTGCAATCAATCTATTAAAAAATTAAATACTTTTATCTGTTCAATTTTAATTAAAGAAAAAAATTTTTGGAAGACTTACTCTAAGAGTCAAAATGCCCACAAAATTAATAGAGAATAAGTTACTATCTGGCTACATTTACCTCCTATGAAATTCCAAGTTTGAATACAATGGCCACATAAAATAGCCAGCAAAATTAAGAACGGCAAACATCTGCAAATGTCTTTTTTTTTATTTTATCTAAATACTCAGTGAAAATTTTATGAATCATTTTTTAAAATAGGGTAATCTTATATGCCTTATTTCATATTTCTACCTGAACCCCATCCTGGAATACATTATGTATTCAACAAATACTGTCCTTTATTGTTGTTGTTTTGCAATACTGGGGATGGAACCCAGGGCCCTCACACATGCCAGCAAAATACTCTTATCATTGAGCTACATTCCTAGCTCTTTTTTATTTTTCATTTTAAAATATGGGCTCACTAAATTTCCAGGCTATCTGTGAACTTGCAATCCTCCTACCTCAGCCTCTCAAGTAACACAGCACCCAGCTATTAACACAAATTTAAAAACTGAACCTAAGGTGATGGATCCAAGCCAATCAGCACACAATGGCCTCAATTAAACACTTTGCCCTAAGTCATAAAACTAGTAATAGTGTCAAAATCTGACATTAAAATTCTTATTCTTTCAATTATGCCATGTCATCTACACATAATAAATGCATAATAATTATTAAACTCAGTAGTTATGTTATTCTCCTTAAGTCATTTTTTGGCATTATTGTTTTTTAAAGACAAAAATTTTTAGGAGCTATTATCCCTTCAATATTCTGCAACAGAGGGCTGGTATTGTGGCTCAGAGGTAGAATTCTCACCTACCACGCTTGAGGCACTGGGTTCGATCCTCAGTACCAACCACAAAAAAAAAATAAATAAATAAAATAAAGATAGTGTGTTCACCTATAACTGAAAAAATTAATATTTTTAAAAAATATTCTGCAGCAGATTCTTGCTCCCCCAATATTTTGCAATAATGAGGGGTGAACCCACTTGGAATTTCACAATCAGACAATAATTTATTCTCTACAATGTTGTGGGCATTCTGATTATTATAGTAAATTCTAAGAATTCTAATTTCTTCAAACTGAATAGATAAAAAAGGTTTTTAACTTTTCCCCCCACTGTAAGACATGATCTCAAAAAGTTGCCCAGGCTGGTTCCCAACTCAGTATCCCCTGCCTCAGTTTCTAGAGTAGCTGGGATTACACATGAATGCCATCACACCCAGCTTCTGAGCAGATTCTGCTGGTTGAGATTTCCATATCCTTCCAAGAATATGAAATTCCTGATTTGGGAACTCTATTTGGGGATCCTTGTTCCAATGAAGGCAAAGCAATGTGTCCAACCAGAGTACTGGCCACAGGACCTAAGCTCACCAATCAAACTGAAAGGCAGGACACTTCAGAAAATGAAGACCAACAACATAATTAACGTATAGGGCCCCAAAAGCTGGCGCAAACATGTCTGGATGAGGGAAATCTAAGCAATATCATTAAAATACTGATATTTTAGTTTAACCTGAAACCTGACTCAAATTGACTTAAAAATCTGAAGGAAATTTACACCAATAAATAAATTTCCTTCAGATTTTTAAGTCAATTTGAGTCAGGTTTCAGGTTACACTAAAAAAATCCCAAACTTGGGTTTTAGGATGTTTCTTAACATGCCATGTCCTTTCCAATGCTTCTTATCAATTGGGCACCTATTATATATAACGTATTATATGACACGTTTAAAACAAATCTACATCCAAAATCTACAAAGGGAATTTTACCCTCACCATCTCAGATATGAGAAAATGCAAACTCAAGTATTGAACATCATTCTCAATACCACATAGCTATTACTTGGAACCAGAATTCAAAAGCAGGTTTAAGAAGCTCATAAGCACTTGATCCATGAACTACAAGAAACTGCCTACTGTGTGGAACTTGTCTTTAAAGGTCTTTACTCAGGTATCAACTCTTCTATGAAGACTTCTGTATCCATTGATGCATTTCACAGAACACTCATAGAAAGTAATTATTACAATGTATTGTAACTGTATGTCTACTTGCTTAAAATGCAACCTCTGTAAAGATAATGGGATCCAGATAATTCCAGTGCTTCCCACAGTATTTGTGACAGGAAAAGTAAAACAATAGAGAAATGAAGTCCTATCTATTACAGATTAAGTTTCACTAAAATAAGCAATTATCATTATACTGGCATATCCTTTTACATAGAATGTTTCTAAAGCATGGAGCATGGAATTTAGGATGAAATTTGAAAATATTTCCTTTATATTACATATTTGCTGCAAGGAAGGTACTTTTTGTACTTTTGAAGGACTACACCGAAATGTTGGAAATCTAGAACAGGAATACATATATTTACAACCAAACACTTTAAACATATCAAAGGACTTGTGTTTAGTAAAAGCGAAACATACTTCTTAAGCTCCTATTAAAAGTCAAATACAAGCTAGGTGTGGCCAGCACCCTTGTAAATGTGACCCAAGCTACTGAGGAGGCTGAGGCAGCAGTATAGTAATTCAAAGCCAGCGTGGGCAACTTGGCAGAACCCTATTTCACAGTAAAATTCTTTTACAAAAGGCTGGGGGATGTAGCTCAGTGGATGAGTGCTTGCCTAGCATGTGTGAGGCCATGAGTCCAATTGCCAGTACTGCAAAAAAAAAGTAAATACAGTGAAAAATTTTTTAAAAAGTCAAACACACTTTAAACAAATTAGACTATTACCTGAATATCTGAACCAAAGTTGCCAACATAAGTCACTTAACTCCCAGGTTTTACTTCACTTAAAAATGAAAAGCAGAAACCAGAATATTTCCTAAATACCACCTACCTCTGGCAACTTCTGTTTTCCTGACTACACAACCAAAAAGTAACTTTAGGGATTCTCTTATCACACCATTTTAATGCTGAGCACAGTACATACTCCTGACATTTTTCTTATTTATGTATTACCATTTCCCCCATGAGAATATGTGCCAAGAGAATAAGGACTTTGTTGTATTCATCAGTACACCCTAAGCCTTCACATAAAACCTAGTACACACCCCCAAAAATGTTTGTAATAACCATGGAAAACTAATGTCTCGTTGTCCAAATAAAATAAAAAACTAAAGCAAAGAGTACAAGAATGGGAACGTCCTACATTTTCCAACTTTCAGGAAATCCGTCTTCCTATTTCTTACTTTTTCTAAGTTATTAATCTTACAAAGATCTTGAGAATATTTAGAAACTCCCACTTTGTTAGTAACTTACTTTGAACCCACGATAATTAGCATATAAAAGCATCTTATCAGTTTCAAAATCATCCACCCTCCCAAATCAAATTTCACAGAAAAGAAATATTTTAACAGGAAAAAAAAAAAAAAACTTACTAAAGTTTAATGAGGGGGGAAAAAAAAAACCATCTGATTCAAGACGACCCTCAGTTTTTTTTAAACAAGGTTGTCTTCCCATGTCTCCCCGTTTCTGTGCACAGCCAGGACACTTGCGTATTGATCCAGAGGTCTCACAGATACCACAACCATATTTAGAAATTGCACAACTCCTAACCAGTACCTTATTTCCATTAAAACTCTCCCCAAACTCCTCAAGACTCCCTTCAGACTGAAAAGCCAAAACCTTACAACCTCACATCTGCTTCTCGGCCTCCCGCTCCTGCACTGAGCCCCCTCCAACTTCACTCTTGGGACCCCCATCTCGGCCACCGAGAGGTTTCCATTCTAGCAGATTCCTAAGCGCCAGCTCTCCCACCGTTACCCGGGCGCTCGGGAGCGAGTCCCTGCCCACCCCCATCCCGCCCCCACCCCCGCACGGCTCCCGGCAGGTGCCGGGCTGGGAACCGCAGCGCCCCGGCGGCTGAGAGGCGGGGCACACAAAGGACCCGCATGGCCCTCCCCAGCCTCCCCGCGTCGCTCCCTCAGCCCCGCGGGGCCCTCGCCGCGCAGTCCCAGACCCAGGCAGCGGCCGCTGCTCGGCGCAACCAGGGATGCTCGCCCTGGCCGCCCCCTCCCGGACCCACCGCCGCCCTCGCCCCACCCACGAAGGCTGCCTGCGGCTGGACCCTCGGCCGGCAAAACCGAAAGCGCATCCCGGACGTCGCCCGGGCCGAGCGCATCCCGCCCGCCATCTCCCCCGCCCCGCCCCGCCCGGCGACGGCACCCCGCCGCCGCCCCCCGCCCCAGCCGGCGTCTCAACGGCCTCCGGCGCCGCGCGGCGTCCCCCGGCCGGGCCGGACCCCCGCCCGCCGTCCGCAGCCCCGCACTCACAGGCTGCCGGAGCAGGAGGTACAGACGAAGGAGCCGACCGTCATGTTCACGTAGGTGGGGCCGCGCTGGTCGCAGTCGAAACACTTTCGGTTGTGCGGGAGGCCGGTCATGTCCCGCAGCATCTTCAGGTGCTTCTCCTCCTGCTTCCGCTTCGCGCTGGCCGCCATGGCCGCGGCGCCGAAGGAGGAGGCCGGCAGGGCCGGGAGCCGGGCGGCGCTGCGCCGGGGGCCCGCGGTCCCACGGGCCGCCCTGGCCGCGGCCGCAGCCCTCCGTCAGCGCGCGCCGCCCGCGCCGGACCCGGCGGCCGCGGCGCTGCTCGGTTCGACTGGGCTCGACGCGGCGCGGACGCTGCGGAGCGCGCGCTGACGGGCCACACCAACCGGCCGGGCCGGGACAACCGCCGCCGCCGCCACCTTCCCGACTTCTCCAGAGGGGAAAAGACGACGAAGGGGGACGGCAAGAGGAGGCCCGCCCCGGGCGGCCGCTGGCCAACTGTCGACCGGCGCCCTCTGCTGGCCAGGAGGAGTCACTGCGGCCACACTGAGGCCTGGGTCCGGGCTGGGCCGAGTAGGGAAGACACAATGGTGATAATAAATAATGGACAGTGTTATTGAGCATCTATGTATGCTAACCGCTCGACAGGGGTTGCCTTTCTCCCTGCTTAAAACTCTCCAAGGGATGTCCACTGCTTTGGGGATAATTCCAAATTCCTCACTGTGTCCTAAGGAGCACTCCATAGTCTAGCCTCGCTTACCTCTTCCACCTCATCCTCATCCACCGTCACTCCAGGTTTGCGTTTGCTGCCCAAACCCGACAAGCTCCTTGCTGGCTTCTGCCCTTGACGTTTTCTCTATACGAGGGTTTGTCGACCTTGTCACTATTGACACTTTGGACCAGTTAATTTCTCAGTGTGGAGGCTGTCCTGTGCTTTGTAGGACCCAGGCCTCTGACCACTAGACTTCCTGGCCTCTGCCCACTAGACGTCAGAACACCCCCTTTCTCCTAGCTGTAGCAACCCAACTGCCAAGACACTGCCAAATATGCAGGGAGATTTAGGTGGGTGAAAACCACTACTGCACGTAGAAAACCAGATCTTCCACGGCAGGCACCTCCCATTTGTCACATGGGACTCAACTGTCACCTTAGCCAGACTGTCCCAGATCCACCTCCTTAATGTTGCAGATCTTCTCTTTTCCCTGAAGTTGCTCTCTGTCAAATTGCTATGTTTCATTTTCTTCATAGTTCCAGCTGTTGGAACTACTGCATCTTATTTAGCACTTACTGTCATCTAATGTAGCCCTTTAAAGCCTAGCCCAGCTCCTGTATTTTCTTCACTGCTTCATCCATTTCCCTCCCAGAGCTGGAGACTTAAGTGCTCGATTTTTATTAAATGAATGCATGAAATGTATCTAATCTTTACATCAACTCTTTGAAGTAAGCTTGATTGTTATTTCTATTTCACCAATCAGGAGGATTAGCGGTGGGGAGCAAATAGATTTACCTGCTTATTTGGGTTCGGAAGCTAAGATTCCAACCCAGTTACACTGCAGAACCTGAATCTCTTCATTACTGCAGGTATCAACTGCCTGCAGGATGTTAGAAACCATCCTTACCCCCTATTTCTCAAAGGAATACAGGGAAACCAAGAGAACTAGAGTTCCAAATGCAGATAATGGGGATCTTTTTACAGTGTTAGCAACCATTAAAATCCAATCCTTCACTAAGGATTACAGAATAATGACATTCTGATTCTATCATTCCTGCTTCATTATTTTTGCTGAAATACTTCTGTAAAGAGAAAACATTTATCTGCTATTTGGTACAGCTCATGTCAGAGAGACAGGATAAATGTTTGATTCTTTTATTCACAAATTTTCATGTCACCTTTCAATGGAGATCATTATAAATTCAAGGATTTAGACTTATTTGATGACCTTGATGCTCCTGTCATCTCATCATTAGCCTCCTAAAGTTGGCTGAGTATTTTGACAAGACCCTGACTTAAGGTCAAATCCTGTTCTGCTCTGGCAGGGCCCTGAGCTGTTCAAGAGATGAGAGCATTGAAATGTCGAATCCTTGACGGATCAAAACAAGGCTGACTTGCCAGCCCAACTCTGGAACTGGAAGTCACTCCGTAGTCTCTCGCTCATTACCAGCAAACGTTCCTCACACCCTGTGGCTCATTTCTCTATTTGCCAGGCTCCCTTGTCCCTTGTCTGCTCTCTGGTTGCTCACCTCTCCATGGTCCCTCGTCTGATTCATTCTAGAACCAGCAGCCCTGACTGCAGCACCTCATGCAGATGGTGAGTGGGTGTTTTATTATTGTGCTTTGTTGTCTGCAGAGGCACAGGCAGGTATTTCCAAACTATTGATCTATAAGAAAGTGAAATGCAGGTAAAATCCAAGATGCTTTTTTCAAAAGCTGGAAGTCCCAGTGAACATTGGCTCTTTCACACCATGTATGATATTGAAGCAGCTTTCTGCTTTTAAAAATTTCAGGGAGAGTTTTGCCATATACCAGCAAGAATATTTATGTATTTACCCTCCCTTAGCCCTCACCACAATGCAGGAAGTATTATTAGCCACATTCTATAATCGAGGAAACTGGAGCTCTGAAAAGCAGGCTTGTCTGAAGCCATGCCCCAATTGGTAGGCATGAAGTCAGGATTCAAATTCAGGCCTGGCTGTAAGATATTAGCCTCTGCTTCTGGTGACTGAGTACTGACCCTGCTCTTACAGGATTTACAGAGCAGAAATCAAGAGATGTTAGCTCTGCAGCTAGAGTAAATCTTTTCAAAATGCAAATGTAACTCTGACATCCCCAGCCTTCACACCCGCCCCCAACTGAAGCCTTTCTGTCATTTCCTGTTGCTTTCTGGATGAAAGAAATTCCAGGAGTCTCTGAAGCCTCCTGCCTACCACAGTAGGTCTCTCCCACTCTGGCTCAGCCCTACAATGCCTGGGGTCCTACAGGCACCACCCTAAGTCTTCACCATTGCTCCAGACCTACTTGTCAGTTTTATTTATTCTCCTCTCTCCCATCACAGGGCCTTTGCATTGCTTTTTGTTGTTGTTTATTTCTAGAAACACTCTTTTGTCTCTTTTATTCCTTTCACGTTCCTCAAATCCAGCTCAGTATCTATTTTTCAGAGATCCTTTTCTGACCTGCCAGCCAAGTCAGGTTCCATAATATATGCTATTAGCCCTATGAACCTCTCCTTGCTAGCACTTAATGCTGTAGCCGTTTATGCTGCTTTGTGATTTTTCAAGCATGAGACTTGGCACTTAGAAAGGGCTCGATAAATATTGGTTGAAGGAATCCATAAATGTACCAGTGGGGTGCTAAAGATTAAAGCTTCCTTCAGTTGTATGCAAAGGGTGCAGTATTCTGCTTATTGTTATCTCTGCTATTTTGGCACTCAGAATGCCTACAGTTGTGTCAAATCTTACAATAGTTTTGTTAAGGAACTTGCAGATTCTGAAATCAAATCTGCAGTAGTAAAGAATCTAAAGCCACCCAAATGCTGACTGACTGTGACTCGTTTAAAGGCTCTTGCCTGTCTTATCACCAAGGGTGACTCAGAGAAAATGTCCTGAACAAACCCGGGTGTGTGGAGAGGACCCATGGAGCCAGCACACCAGGCAGGGAGCTGCCAACTCATCCTCAGCCGCCCCACCCTCCACACCCAGAGGAGGCCCCATGTCGTCCAGAGAGCAAAGTAGGACAAGCAAAGACAAATGGCCTGGGATGACCAACAGTGTGAGGAGAGAGAAGAGGGCTTCCGCTTCAGGGAGTACCTCAGCTGGAACTCCTGGCAATACCTGAGTGTGACAGAGACCACCAACAAACGCACACAGTCGACAGACATGCGGGTGCTGTGGCCCTCCTTGCCACCAGCAGCACTCTGAGTTCCTGCTGTTGATAAGTCTTGGACTTTGCTAGTGAATAGCCCAGTGACCTTCTTTTGTTTACTTGTGCATGAAAAGGGCTAACTTAAGTTTAATGGTTTAAAAATATGCCTGATATCTTTTCTTATTTTAATGCACTGGGAATCTCAAAAAATTTGAAGAGGCCATGAGTTCCATCTGAGCCCACTTATCTTCTTCCTGAGCCCCACACTCCCATCTTTCCCAAACCTTGGAGCAGAGTACTTCAGAAGCCCCAGATCCTCCTCAGACACCCGGCCTCCGTGGAATGAGTCAGGATGTTGGGGAACTTTGTTCTCCATTCTTGGGGGGTCTTCATCTCTTCCTTTCTGCCAGACCCTGATACTGAAAGCTGATTTTGAGTACAAAGAGGACTTTGCTGACAGCAATAAGTATTTGCAGTGTAGGGAAAGTGGAGCTTTGAGTTTTGCATTTTGATTAACACTTTTGCTCCCCATGGCTGGACCTTTTCCAGCTTTTGGCCAAGAAACCAATCCTGATTTTTATGACCCATGTAAGTAATGCAAAAGAAAAGCAATGTTGGCCCGTGAACTTCCCTAGGCCCCAGCAGACTTCAGAGTGAATTACCACAGGGCCTCAAGCATAAAGCACTGTGGAATAATATTCAACTAGGTTTTTGTTTTTTTTTTTTTTTCTTTTCTCTTCATTTGGTACTGCCTTCCTTTAGCTGTGGTTTGATTATTTTTAACATTGCTTCCTGACTTGCTTTTTAATTTGAAAAAAGCAGCCAGAGAGAAAAAGAAGAGGGGGAAAAAAACCTACAGAGAACAAGGAGTTGGTGTGTACTTCCTGGAAATACCGGTGTGGTTTCTGGGTACACATGCAGAGAGCTCCCAGAGCCTAGGTGCCTAGGAGCCAGACACCCAAAGGGCAGGACTCCTTCCACACCAAAACACTAATGCTGACAGCTGGTCGCCTGGCCTCTGACTCCCTACAGATGCCAAGGAAAACAGACGCCCCAAAGACCTGCTTTGCCTTCTACCTGGATTCATTGCTCTGCTCTCACTTGGGAGCTTTCTCTCACCAGCAGAATTCTGTGCGTTCTGAGAGCAGGCACCAGGTCACGGCCCTCATGTCTCCACCTTTGTCTCCACAAAGATGCTCCGTTGTGCCAGCTGGTTGGCTCCACGCAGGACGGTTCTGGAAGCTCACAACAACTGCACCTAGACTTATCCACTTATCAGCAAGGCATTTTCTGGATTTCGGAGGGAAACTAGAGGTCGTTTTCAGCCTTCTTTCCTTGCTTCATTGAAGATGTACTGAGCACCTACTATCTGCCAGGTTCTGTGC